TCTAATATGTCTCTGACTAGACCTTCATGCCTGAGAAGGTGTCCTACCAACCTATCTCGCCTATTTTTTATTGACTTCCATAGAGTCCTCTGTTCTCCTATTCTTTCCAATACCTCTTCATTTCTAACCTTTTCTACGCACGTTATCCTCATCATCCGCCTATAACACCACATTTCGAAAGCTTCTAACCTTTTCTTTTCCGCCGCGCCCACTGTCCATGTTTCGCCCCCGTACAACACCGTGCTCGTAACATACACCTTTAACAACCTTTTTCGAATTTCTAAATTAACCATTCGCAAGCATAGAAATGACTTGTTTTTATTAAAGGCGACGCGACCCTGCGCTAACCTCTGCTTTATATTCCTACTACTCCTTCCGTCCTGACTTATCTGACTTCCTAGATACCTAAAATCAGCCACTTCTTCTAATTTTTCGTCTCCTACCTTTATATTCGCTCTTTCCCTACTTTTTCTTTCCTTGCATACGAGTATTTAAGTTTTACTTCTATTTATTTTCATACAGAACTGATCTGTCAGTACCGCTTCCATTTTATTTAGTTTTTGGTTAGTTATTTAGTTTAATAGAGAGAAAAACTACAAATTGTGTATATTTATTAACAGAAAAAGAAAAACAACGACGAATTGTAATATCAATACGCATAAGAAGGGTTAGAAAAATGAGTGAAAATGTTATCATTAATCATTTGGGTCACTATAGCCAGATATGATTTCTTGAGAATCAGTCATAATAAACGATATATCATTTTAAACGGAGTCATTATATCTATACTTTCCTAAAGAGAATTTAATATGAAAACCAAACTTAAAACTGCAATTACTTCATATTAAGCGGTTGGTCGATATAGGCGGAGTCATAATAAACGAATTCCATTGTATTTAATTAATTAGAACTTCATTATTAATTTTCATATATTTATTACGGTACAGGTACCTACATAGCATGTAGTATTTTCTATTTCCCATCCAATTATTGACATTGGCGATAACTAATTGAATAGTTAATTCCCGCGTTCCAATATATTGCCGTTGCTTTTGTTAGGTCGAACCGATCCCACAGTGAAGCAATATAATGGTACAAAGAAAACACGTCGTCGGTTGCAATTACTTTTAAAGAGGTGTTGTCGATAAACGAGAGCTAGCACGTTCGCTTCAGCCTTTTGCAAGGCCCTTTAATACCGAAAATGGTTCGGCTTTTATATTAATTTAAAGAGTTGATTTCAAATTTGCTAAATCCCGACTCATACTGTAGTTCAAGTCACGTCAAGTAAAATATTGCGGAACATATTTTGTATGCCAGTATTTACATTACAAAACACGAAGACGAAGACCAAAACTAAGACCGTCCCAGTCTTGATATTGAAATTCAAATCTTTCCAGTCTTAATCTTGTCTTGTGGATATAGTGTAGGTCTTGGTCTTGCTCTTGGTCTTGCGTTTTAAGTTTTGGTCTTGCTGATTGTGCTACTTAGGTTTTGTTAAATAATTGTCTTAAGTTTTTCTATCTAATGCTGAAATTTTCTGTCATACATCCGACCTCTTCCTGACTTTTAAAGAAAATAGTGTCGATAGTTGTGAGAGTTATAAAAACTCGAGAACTTACTCTTCCTTCAATGCATAAATTGTTAGCAAATAAAATAGTATAAAGAGGTAAAAAATATTGACAAAAAATTATCTTGTCTCTATATTTCGTCAATGTGTCATCCAGGCATAGGAACAAAGAATACTTACTCCGAGAACGTTCTTCTGGATCTCTTTTTTCAAACACTGGTAAAGTATTCTCATTTTTCAATTTCAAACATTTGATATGCACGTTGACTCATGTTGCATTCCATTTTTAAACAATAGTCATACACAAATAAAACGCCAGGTAAATATGAATATTCCATCAATTTATGGAATAAAACCCGACAATTGTTTCTATCTTCCCGAGATAAAAATGTTCAGTCTCTCAAAGTCTCTGAAAGCGAGTCTCTCTGGTGTCGCTGAGACAAACTATCGAGAGACTGTCAAAAAAACTGTTTAGCGTCTCTGAACGAGAGACTCGAGTCGCTCATACAGAGATCCTCATTTAGCGTCTCTGAACGAGAGACTCGAGTCGCTCATAAAGAGATCCTCATTTAGCGTCTCTGAACGAGAGACTCGAGTCGCTCATAAAGAGATCCTCATTTAGCGTCTCTGAACGAGAGACTCGAATCTCTGAACGAAAGACTCGAATCTCTCAATAAGTGGTGTTTCGATAGACATGGTTAAAATTTTTTTCTAAGTTCAACATATTTCAGAGATCCCAGTCTTTCTACGAGAGACTCGAGTCTCTCAATTTTTCAGTTTTATTCATTCAGTCTCTCTGTGAGGGACTCGAGTCTCTGAATTAACAATTTTATAGTTTGAGTCTCTCATACAGAGACTGTGAGAGATTCATAAAAACACCTAGGAAATAACTGAGAGACTGTGAAAGACTGTGAGAGACGCTCTCAGAGACGCTGAAAGACTCTGAGAGACTGAAAATTTTGGTCTAGGGTTATTTTATTTTCAAGAGCAGGTACATTTAATTGTTAAATTGTGCTGACTGTGATTTAATGAATTTATTAAAACACAGTCCTACTCAATAAACTGATAATTCGTTCTATTTACTATTTTGTTCAACTGTGTTTTCAAATATATATAGGCGTTTTGATGACAAAGTCGATTCCGTAGGTATTTCAGTCTTTTTCACGTACCTACATTTTCCTTCGAAATACTAAAAGAGGAATCAAGTTGAATGTTTTGACGGGATCTTCCACGCCCAACAATGTCGTTCAATGTTCCTTTTATGTTTCTACACAGTGTTCGATTTAGAAGGAATGGGTATGTGCCCGATACAAAGGAAGTGACGAAAGGATAGAATAGCAACCATTATCTCTTTGACCCGTTTTATATCGGGCGGTCGCTGACGTACACATACATAGAATGAAAACTTTTTGTAAAAGTTAACAGTTGTTCCGGTTTGACAATTAGCTTCTCATTCACAAAACGTTTATTTTTCAACAATGGAAAAATCCTAAAGTAGTATATTTACTTCCTTTTCCAGAAAAGCTTTTTTGTTCGTTTTCTTTTGTACCTACAGTAATCCTGTGCCTTAAATAAAATGGAAGCGGTATTGACAAAAGACTATTGTATGGAAATAAATAAAAGTAAAACAAAAATACTGGTACGCGAGGGTAGAAAAAGTAGGGAAAGAGCGAATGTAAAGATAGGAGACGAAAGATTTGAAGAAGTGAATGATTTTAGGTATCTAGAAGGTCAGATAAGTCAGGACGGAAGGTGTAGTAGGGATATAAAGCAGAGGTTAGAAATTCGGAAAAAAAATTATTGTTAAACGTGTGTGTTTGAAGCACGGCGCTATAGAAGTGTTCGAAATGTGGTGTTACCGACGAATTACGAGGATACCGTGGATAGAGAAGGTTAGAAATGAAGAGGTATTAGAAAGAATAGGAGAACAGAGGACTCTATGGAAGTCAGTAAGAAATAGGCGAGATAGGTTGTTAGGACACCTTCTTAGGCATGAAGTCAGAGCCATATTAGAGGCAGAAACGGGAGTTAGAGGGGTAGAAGTAAATGCGGGATGTTCTAGTTTTAGGGAAATGCGAAAATTAGCTCAGGATAAGAAGGAGTGGAGGTACGTGTCCAATCAGTCTGATGACCTTATGATGACGACGATGAGGAAGTCAGATAATTCATTACAAGTGATAGCACAGGGTCGAGTCGTCTTTAACAAATAAAAATCACGTCTATATTCGCGAACGGTTAATTTAGAAATACAGAGGTTTATTAAAGGCATATGTAAGAATAGAACAACACTCCATGGAAGTCAATAAGAAATAAGCGAGATAGGTTAGTAGGGCACCTTCTCAGGCATGAAGGCCTAGTCAGAGACATATTAGAAGTAAAAACAGTAGATTAGATTGCTGTTCACAAATACTTAAGGATGTGAGTTGTTCTAGTTTTAGAAAAATGCGAAGATTAGCTCAGGATAGGAAAGAGTGATGGTGCGCGCCCAACCAGTATTAGAATTGAGGACCCTATGATGATGATGGTGATGAATTCTGTATCAAAAGTAGAGATAAGTCACCAAATTTTGGACAGTGCATTATTATAATTAATTAGCCAATAAAATTTAAAGTTTGTTATCAGCATTTTAAACTAGTTTCCTTATGTCTTTTGATAGAGCAAGGGAAGTAGACATTTTGAAATAAAGTGTTGCATCTATAAATAGCGTCTAATACTTCATCATCATCAGGTCATCAGTCCTAATCCTAAGACTGGTTGGACACGTACCTCCACTCTTTCCTATCCTGAGCTAAACTTCGCATTTCCCTAAAACTAGAACAAATCACATCCTTAACTATTTGCGAACAGTAATCTAATCTAGGTCTACCTCTACCCCTCCTAACTCCTGTTTCTGCCTCTAATATGTCTCTGACTAGACCTTCATGCCTGAGAAGGTGTCCTACCAACCTATCTCGCCTATTTTTTATTGACTTCCATAGAGTCCTCTGTTCTCCTATTCTTTCCAATACCTCTTCATTTCTAACCTTTTCTACCCACGATATCCTCATCATCCGCCTATAACACCACATTTCGAACGCTTCTAACCTTTTCTTTTCCGCCGCTCCCACTGTCCATGTTTCGCACCCGTACAACGCCGTGCTCCAAACATACACCTTTAACAACCTTTTTCGAATTTCTAAATTAACCGTTCGCGAGCATAGAAGTGACTTCTTTTTATTAAAGGCGACACGACCCTGCGCTATCCTCTGCTTTATATCCCTACTACTCCTTCCATCCTCACTTATCTGACTTCCTAGGTATCTAAAATCAGCCACTTCTTCTAATTCGTCTAATACTTATAATAATAAAAATATGTAGGTACAAGTACATATTTCTCTCTCACTATCTCTCTCTCTCTCTCTTGCTTTCTCTGGTTAGACGGTACAGACAAATTTTAATTGAAACGTACGGATGCAGGCAAATGAGTAGACAAATCGCAGTGGGCGCAAATGGGCTGAGAATCCAATTTCGATTTCGTTCCGTCGAACACGCTTACGACCTACAAATGTAGGCAACAGCATCAAACAGACGGGGCAGCAGCAGGAGCTGGGTGAACATGAAGGGAGAGAATCGTATTCGGCGGCGGCACACACTGCGGGTCCCGGTAAATGACGAAATAACGTAATCGCAAAGGTAAATCAAACGCGGATCATTAACCAGCAGATTTTTGGAATAAATTTAAACGTTTGAAACGTTCGTCCGAGGCCCGTGTGCGCGATATTGGTTTTCCGTCGTTTTCGCCAAATGATCGACATGGTTTTAAATTAGTTTTGTGCGATTTACATTTGCGAACCGGGGAGGGAAATTGCTTTGGTTGCCTTTTGAAAAAAAAAAAAAAGATAACGCTTTCGCGATGGAAGAACGTTTCTCCGTATTCCCGCGTAGTCCCGCCTAATACAGCAAAAATGACGACGAATTTCTCTAATGGTGTATATTTCCAAACTGTTGATCAAGATCACTTCGGGAAGCGGCTTAACTGATCCTAAAAAATTCTTATTAAATTCGCGACGATAAACCGAAATCAATGTTTCCGAAACGATTTTATTCATTTAAGTGTCCCGGAGCGTGAAATTTAAATACAACATGAAAAAACAAATTTATTCTGTTTTTTTTTCTTCGCGCAACACAAAATTGTAAGACCCTTGTGTATAAGATGTAATTATATCAGAGAGACTTATTAGACAAGGTGTAATAGAAATAGGTACCGAGCTTGTAGGAGGTGATAGAGCAATATAAAATATGAAAATTAAGTTTATGATTGTATGTCTGAATGTTCACCGTTTCCGGGAAAATCTTAGTTGAAAGTACTGGCAAATTCAATTGCAACCCTGGTAAAGAAATACGCCCCGCAACGCTGCACTCAATAAGCTTGTGATTACCAGTATCAGTGTAGTATTTGTTTTGTATTTTTTTACTCATGTACTTAAGTGTGATTTAGGGTGTATATGTTAACAACTAGTCTCTAGAAGTCATTTATTCCTTTAATGTTTAAACTTTGTGCAGTTCAATAAACCAATTCAGCAATATTAAATGAATCATTAATATAGGTCAGTCACTGTAGGTAATAATACGTGATGATACATATTTATGCTGCTCGATTTTAAAGAAGACATTCATTGCGAAATAGCAGGTGTGGCAAATCTTAAAGGAAAGGTTGCTGCATTCTTATCATTTGCAACGAGTGCAAGCCTTGCCTGAAACCGATTTTCAGCCGCGAGTGGATTTGTACCGATGGTTTCTAAAGAAAAGCTTGTTTATGTTTATTTCCGACGTTCGATAATCGGCAATGTTTGTATTCTTCATCCATCTTGTTACAGAGTTTTTACTACACAACGTACGCTATGTTGCCAATTCACAGACAGAACCGGCTTCAGATTTTTGTAAAAGTACACATTACATCATTACAGAATTATTTCGATTTATCTCTTGTAATTCGGTTCGGTGGTGTAATATTACGTAGTCAATGCCTGTATTTATGTACGTATGTATACATAATATCACGAAAAGCCGCATCATTCCTGCGTTAACGTACCTGAACAAGGAACAATGCGTATCTGACACCTGTGAACCAAACAAATGAATGGCGTTTCTGCAATTTATAACACGGCCACTAATTTAGATTAATGTTTACGGCAGTTGTAGGCCTACCCAATTCACTTCCCTTCACATCATCTCGTTCAGACGAAAGCTCCATTTTGCAGATGTTTATTTCGTACCCTGTAACAAACGTAACGACAAACCCCATTTCACTTCGATCGTCCGCAGAGAAACTATTAACAACCCCAAATCCAAATGGAACATTAACTAGGTCATTCGGTAAAATTGTTATTTACAATCACTATGTACAATATAAAGTTCCTTCTACGTAATAATTAATATATAAGATTGGTTCTGGCGGACGAGCGACATCTAGCCGTCTAGATTTTAGCTTGACATTCGGGTGTTCACCCTTTCGACGTCAACCTGTTATCGTCCAAGTTTTTTTATCGTGGTGGGACAAGAATATTCCATGGATAATTTCCGTCTTCATTTTATTTGTATCATCTTCCTCTTCCCACCTGTTCCCACAATTACTACCAGTCCACCCTATCCGCCGGCTTTGCCCAAGAGTGTTAGCCAGATTCTCCGATCTCCCAACTTTAGTAGAAGATGGCGGCTATGCTCATTGCAGCCAAACTGTAAGTTTATTCGAAAAATGTTTTAAACAAAACTTGCTCCCTATTTTAGTGCAAGATCATCTGTATTATCAAACTTGATTTACTATACAAAGTGTTCAAAAATAGCAAGTTTTGTTTGTAAAATTTTTCGATTAAACTTACAGTTGGGTTGCAATGGGCACATTGCGTACTTTTTGAGCCACCCTGTATATATACAGTCGCAAGTTCTGCAGTGAACGGCAAGCCGATTGATTTCCAGGATTAAATTTGTGTTTATTTTCAGAAAGAATATCCGTTGGTGCCGTTTTGGGTGAACGAGCTACCCTTCCTTGCGACATTGAACCGGAGGTCAAAGATGATCGGCCGTATATGGTCCTGTGGTACCGTGACCGAGACAACAAACCAATTTACAGGTAAACAAATTTAAATCCAATTTCCCTAAAAATTTTCGTGTCGCTTTGTCTCGTTAAACACCCTCGCAGGCAAAATACATTTCACTCCAAAAGCTTACGATCAGTGAATAATCGAATGTGCCTCCATGAGCCAGTGTTTTTCAATAAAATCAGCGGTAAATTGCACAGTCGTATCGGATAATTACATGCAATTTCCTTGGTACCTGCAAATGTAAATAGCAATAGACCAGCCGACGATTCCTTTGCATTGGTAATGGACCGCTACAAAGGCCACAAGTCCACCTAATATTATGAATTCATTGATGGCCAGTTAACTAGCAGGTATACCTTTAAGGATTGATAGACAACGTACCTATCGAATTTCTGTCACTGTATAAATTACACCCTACGTAGATAGAAACTGCTACCGGTATATGTACGTATGCCAAGGAGTTCATTAATAATAATGAAATTCGTCCTCTCTATTTATCCTAAGGCATACTATACTGTCGAAAGCGTAAACCATATCAAAGAACGTTGCTCTTTTACACCGAAATAGTCAAAGTCAAACCGTAAACAGGTATAAAATCCGCATAGAACGTGAACTCATTAGTTTCTTTATGTTTTATGAGACTAATCCGAGACGTAACTATGAAATTCGTAGACGAAAAACTGCACTAGAACTATCATATCATGATGCAGTAATCCTTGGATATAATCTTGACGAAATACCTTTGCAAATCATCTTTCTAAATGTGGACTCGTTATCGCCGGAATTCGTTATGATGCATCCAAAATGAGCCAGACCTAATACAACTATTGATTTTGAGAGTAACGCTGACTTCTTCGTTTGTTTTAATAAGTAGCTCCGAAAATCCAAATTATGTTAAGGAAAAGATAAAAGTTCAATTCAATTTAACAAAAATTTAATAGATTATAAATTGTTTTAAACTATAAATATAAGTAATAGGACGATGTTAAAAGTACCCTGGATATAAGAGGTTGTAAGTGAAGAGGTAGGTAAACGAAGGGCGCTACGGAAATCAATAAGAAATAGGTATGATAGGACACCTTATCAGACACGAAAGACTACTTAGAGGGATATTAGAGGCAGAAACGGTAGTCAAGAGGGGGGAGAAGTAAACCTATTCGGGATGTAACAAAAATAAGTGCCGAGAATAATTTACAATCCGAAGCCGGCCCTGTGCGTGAATTGGCAACACAGGTACAGGTCTGACGAAGGAAGCTGGCGAGCGGTCGCGCACCTATTTGGGTAAGTCACTTAGAACCGATACACAAATAAGCTTTCAGTAGGCGTAAATTATAGTATTAATACAGATAGGATAGTAGCGTACTAGAAAATAATGTAAAAGCATGACTTATCAAAAAGAAAAAATTAACCTATTGCTTTAGTTTTATAGTTAGTTTTCACATTCACTGTCGTCATGGGAATCTCTATCACTGTCACCAACATCAACAATTAGTTCTTCTATTTGTCTGTCTATTACTTGCTCACTGATCCCTATTTTTAAATATTTAATCTACGCCCCTGATAGGAATACTGAAGAATGAGGGCTGCAATCTTTATGCTTAAAACTGCCTACTTTTGCCACCGCGCATCCACGCCATTTTACAATTTCCGCCAGCTTCCAGCGTCAGGCCTGTATATACCTAACAAATAGCGCAGTGCGATAAGAAGTCTCCAAAAATCTCAAACCACATATTTACCGAAAACAGTCCATGAAATCGTGGAGGTTGTACGACATACGAATTTGCGCCTGACTAATAGTGATTATTATGAAAACACCCTATGGAAAAAATTAGGCTATGTATCACTTTTTTTTCGAAACCACCGACACAAATCCACTCGCAGCTAAAAATCAGGTTTGCACTCGCTGCAAATGATAAGGACGCAGCAACAGTGTACTGTTCTAGGAACTGTCTACTTTGAAATCGAGCCGGTGATGTGGTGTAAACCAGTAAATATATACGTATCATGTCACATCAATTAAAATACGTCTACACATCTTTGATGTTAACCCTTGTATAGTTGATTGAATAATTTTCATTAGTTCAAAGTGGTCAATATGTCAATGAGAACCCATGTATCACCAGTACTATTACTAATGTACCATAATGTGAACTGTTTATATTATAAACAACAAAGGTTCGTGTATCTGCATTGTGTCGATCCAAAGCAATTAAGTTGAGGAAATGGAGCATTCTTCAATATACAATATCTATTTATATACACATTACAAACGTGCATCTATATACATGCATATGTGGCCATAGGTCATAGTGCATCCGGCTCTATCTCCAACATCCATCAACTAGGCAATTCGTACTCAATACCTACCGCCATGAATTATTATGTTTGGCCTATTGAGATAACCGTAATTTATTGCAGTTAATTAGATAGAACACGGCGTCAAATCATAAAATTCAATTCCGATCGAATAAAATAGCCCCAGAGGTAATATGGAATAAATTTTTAAAACGACAACGTTGAGAGAATACAAATTTTAGACCATGATATTAACTACGGTCTTGAAATTGACTTTGTACCTAAGTGGAATTGTAATCTTGGTTATCAACTTGATAAACGTTTTATCAATTCAATGTCTTTAACTTTATTTATACTTTTACAGGGTAACCCAAGAAAGCGGGTTTCTTCAATACCTGCTTTACAGTTAAAGATATCAAAAAAAGTAGTACCATATAATTATATTCATATCCTAAAATTATTTTCGATGATACAGAGTGTCTCATTTTTCCTAGAGGCAACCTAAATAATAACGAAATTCTCCATTTATTATTGCATTTTTGAATTTCTCGTTATTCTGGCGGACGAGCGACATCTAGCCGTCTAGATTTTAGCTTGACATTCGGGTGGTCACCCTTTCGCCGTCGACCTGTTATCGTCCAAGTTTTTTTATCGTGGTGGGACAAGAATATTCCATGGATAATTTCCGTCTTCATTTTATTTGTATCATCTTCCTCTTCCCACCNGCTTTACAGTTAAAGATATCAAAAAAAGTAGTACCATATAATTATATTCATATCCTAAAATTATTTTCGATGATACAGAGTGTCTCATTTTTCCTAGAGGCAACCTAAATAATAACGAAATTCTCCATTTATTATTGCATTTTTGAATTTCTCGTTAAATTTAAATACCACCTTGTTAACCATATATTATGTCTAAAATGCATCAATTTCCATAAAATTCGCCTTAAATCGATTAATAGGCAGTTGCAGTGCTCTGCGCTATTTTGAATATCTCCGAAACGAGAGCACACAGAGGTGTGCTATTTTCACACATTGCTTGTGAAAGAAATCGCCTACTACTTTCACTATTAAATGTTCTTTTCACATTCACTGAAATCTACCACTTCCAAAATAAGTTGTTTCGAACTGGCATAACTATTTTTTTTTTTAATGGAATGCCTTATGTTTTGTCAGCTCATCATGTGCAAAATTTTATTTACTTTCGTCCAATGTAAGGATGTTACTATCTTTGAGAAAATTAAACTTTTTTGTTTTATTATTTTTTATTTTATTATTCGCTTTTATCCACCTTTGTTTCCTACTAACGTCAAATCTGTGTGCCTTTAATGTGTTGAATAACGTTTCGTTTTATACGTTGTTAATTTCTGGACTATCTAACTATGGTTTTGAGTGAAGTTAAAAAGACAGATATTCATTAATTCGTATCATCATATCATTATAAGGTCGTCAGTCCTAAGGCTGGTTGGATACGTACCTCCATTTTTTCCTATCCTGAGTTAATCTTCACATTTCCCTAAAACTACAACAACCCACATCCTTAATTATTTGCGAACAGTAAGCTAATCTAGGTTTACCTCTACCCCTCCTAACTCCCGTTTCTGTTTCTAATATGTCTCTGACTAGACCTTCATGCCTGAGAAGGTGTCTTACCAACCTATCTCGCCTATTTCTTACTGACTTCCATAGAGTCTTCTATTCTCTTATTCTTTCTAATACCTCTTCATTTCTAACCTTCTCTATCCACGGTATCCTCATCATTCGCCTATAACACCACATTTCGATGTCCATGTTTCGCACCCGTACAGTGCCGCGCTCCAAAGATACACTTTAACAACTTTTTTCGAATTTCTAAATTAACTGTTCGCGAGCATAAAAGTAACTTCTTTTTATTGAAGGCCTCACGACTCTACGCTATCCTCTGCTTTATATCCCTACTAATCCTTCCGTCCTGACTTATCTGACTTCCTAGATACCTAAAATCAGCCACATCTTCTACTTTTTCGTCTTCTATCTTTATATTCGCTGTTTCTCTACTTTTTATTCCCTTACATACCAGTATTTTTGTTTTACTTTTATTTATTTTCATACAGTATTGTTTTGTCAGTACCACTTCCATTTTATTTAAAGCTATCTCTAATCATATAATCGAAAATAATTTTGGGATATGAAGGTACTTATATGGTACCACTTTTGTAAGAAACTTTTTCTGATATCTTCAACTGTTACTGAAAAAAACCGCTTGCTTAGGACATTCTGTATATCGCTAAATTTCTAAAAGTCTTTAAAGTAGTTGATGGTTGATGATTTTGTTTCTTGAAAATAGTTCATTTGTTCAATTACCTAAATGCTCTTGTGTATGTAGTTGTCCTTTGACATTTATTGTGAAAGAACCTTCTACAGCCGAACATTTAACACCACTTACCTACAAGCTACACAAAGTTAGATACGTATACACACATGTGTAGATCAATCTGGTTGTGCTTCCGTTTTGAGGCGTCGTGCATGTTTATTTTGTAAATGGTTTCACTAACAGGTTGACTAACAAAACGAGCGTTAATAAACAGCCAACCCGTTTACATTTACTGCCGTTTCTATCACCGTTTAGATTTAATTAAAACCGTCTCAGTATCTTCGAAGATAAATTGCATAAAATAAATTAATGCTCTCGGCATCCAAAACGTCAACCGAATTCGACAAACTTGACGTCGACAGTTAAGCTCTGAGCTCTT